AGTGATGGTCTCAGGGTCAAGCCTGAAATTCAGGCTTCCCAACTTTCAGTACAGCTTGAGCCCCAGCCCTGGTTCCTCTTTGTCAGGACCCAAATTAGAGAGACAAACACCACCAAGCTTGCTTAGTAATAGCAATGCTAACACAAGGGTAGAGGATGGGGAAGCTACAGAGATGGGCACAGAAGAGACCCAATCCATGATGATGTCCACATGTCCTGCTGGTGCCCATGGCCATGATGCCCACTTTGTTGGTAGTATAGGTGGGACCCATTTCCTGCCAGTGCCTAAAGTGTTACCGGAGTCTTTGGAAACTCTGGGGTCCCCGTCTCAGGATGGACCCATATGCTTCACGGAACTGACGGTTCATGGCTGCATAAAGTACAGGGTTGATGCAACCATTTAGCCAGGTAAGATTGGCAGCGAGCATGTGCAGGATTCGTGGGGCCTGAACCCGAGCATCAAATATATTAAGAAGCAGAAAAGGGATATAACTGAGGGAAAAAAAGAGGAACACCACAAAACACATCCGTGTCACCTTCCCAAACTCCGATGGGCCACCCTGGGCCTTCTTAGTCACTTTAGCAGGTGGTGTGTGGGTAGCCACCCCTTGGCCACTCTTGTCTACCCTAGATACTCTGTTGTTTTCCTGGCTTCCTCTCTTCGATGAGTCACTCTCCAAGGTGTGGGTCGTTGCAGTACTGCCTGGCTCAGATGATGTCCCCTCACTGGCCACCCCTGATGCCAGACCACTGTCCAACTCTCGAAAGTGTCCAGGTGGGGCTTCTCCAACTCCAGCAACATTTCCAGCTCGGAAGCTGGCCTGGCGAAGTTTGTACTGGTCCAGTGCCTGGGCTGCCCGCCTCACTTGACGGTGAATGAGGCAATAGAAGATGCCAACAGAACTGAGCCCAAGCACAAAGTAGATGCCCATTAGGATGGTGGTGTAAGGACGGCCCCGGATTCTGTCAAAGCTACATGTACAGACGACAGGCACCAGGATGTAGATGGGCCAGAGTGGGGCAAAGCTTGCCACGCCCACCACCCATGTACCGATCAGTGCCAGTGCCACCCCCTTGGCTGTGAAGATCCGAGGGAAGAGGGTAGGGTGGGCTATGAGAAGGTATCTGCCAAAGGCAATGAGGCAAAGGGTAAGGATGGAGACAGAGTTGGTGGCAAAGAGGAGGAGACCAAAGACTCGGCAAAAGGTAGCCCCAGTACGCCAACGAAGATGGAGGTAGGAGTCCACAGAGAATGGCTGAAGAAGAGAGCAATAGATGAGGTCAGCCAAAGTGAGGTTGGCAATGAGGAGGTTGAAATGGCTACGGAGCTTGGGCTGGACACCCAGGATCATCAAGGTAAGCAGGTTACCAACAGTGCCAGTCACTGCCACCACCACACCCCAGCTCACAGCGACATAGCGATAGTCCACTACTGATGGGTGGTAGCAAGAAAAATTGGCATCATCAGAGGTATTCAACATAGTTGAGAGGCCAGAGGGTCAGAACTAGGTATCTACAGAAGGGAGAAAAGATCAGAAGTTGGAGGCACAGGCTGTCATCCTGTGTATATCCCCTTTTTGCAGTTCAGTGACATTACTCACCCAAATTTTATCCAAATTTTACAGCTCAAAAATTCCCTCACACCTCTTCCTAGGCCTTTTCACCTTTCTTCTCCCTTCCTAATCCCTCCCACAATCTTTAACCTTCTCATTATCTTCCCAAGGACTCTCTTTATCTTCCAAGACTCTCAAATTAACTTGTTGAACTTCCAATGCTTTCTTCTTCCCTCCCTCAATACTGCATCCAATGGAATGGGAGTCAGGATGCCCTCCAACCACTTCCCTGGTTCTATCAGAACCTCCAGTGCCTCAGTGAACCCAAGTCTGTCCCTCCTTGGGGAATAAAACATAGAATAGAAAGGATATGTAGATCTTCCCTGGTTGGTTGCCACACCCCAGTATACTTCCCCTTTTTACACAAATATAATGTAAAGCCAACTTACCTAAGCTATAGGCAACTGGTGGTTAATGATAGTGAGTGATGTCTAGTCTTCAGCATCTGAGACGGATTTTATACCCAGAAAGTATCTAAAAACTCCAAAGTTGCCAAATTCGGGGGTCACATCCTTCTTCCTCTTCCCCAATCTCTGGCCTCTTTTCTCTATTCCGGTATGGCTGATGAAGTACTAGCTGACTTCTCTGTTGAAATCCCGCCACCCACTTCATTGCTCCAGACCCCTCTAATTCTTGTTTGTTCCCTTCTTAGAAACCAGATTCTTCATTCCCTCAGTCTCCATCTTCTCCCCCCACTCCAACCTCATGAAGCAGGATTCCTAAGTTCAATTACATGTCAAAGTGGTAGAGGCCATCTTGTCTAACCTATACCTGTGTGGGAGGCCCCTCTATATCTCCTCTCCCAGCATATGGTCATCTTCGAGAAGACCTCTAGAAAAGGGAGCTCACTAGGTCTCTTTCCAACATGAGATGACCCTACCCCACCCCATTTTATATGAGGAAAGAGAGGTCCAGAGAAGTGAATTACTCAAGGTCACAGAGATAATAGGTGGCAGAGTCAAGATTTAAGCCTGAAATGATGGCAGCTTGGTGGCATAGTGGGTAAAGTGCCAGGTCTGGAGTCAGGAAGACTCGTCTTCCTGAAATCTGGCCTCAGACATTTACTAGTTGTGTGACTTTGGACAAGTCACTTGACTCTGTTTTCCTCAGTTTCCTCATGTATAAAATGAACTGGAGAAGGAAATGGAAATCCACTCCATTATTTTTGCCAAGAAAATCTCAAATGGGTCATGAAGGGTCAGACATAACTGAAAAATGACTGAACTGAACTGATGCCTCCAAATCCAGGTCTTTTTCCATTATCCAGAGATATTATCATAGGTTCCTCTCCTGAGGAAGCTTTGACTTCCATTTCCCTAAGGGGAGGCGGCTGAGATATCTTTTTTAGTAATCCCTCCTCCTGTCCTTCTAGTAAAGGAGACCAGGTAAGATGGTAAACTAAGACAAGATTCAGGAGTCTGGGATCTCTCTCCACAATCAGTAAGCATTTATTAAACATTTAGCAATGTGCTATATACTTCCACAGAAGTGCAAGCTCCAAACCAAGTGTCCAGAAATGTCCTCTACTCCCATTGCCCTCACTTCAGCCTCACTTTGAAGTGTCCCACCATCTCTCCCCAGGATATTTCAAACATTTGCCCTCTGTGTCAATGGCATTTCTCCAGCCCTTGACTTTCTCTCCTCCAGTATTCTCTGTCATCTCTTTCCTCTCTTCATCCCTACCCCGAAGCTCTCCAGCCCTTGTCCTTCCTTCTCCCTTCAGCTCCTTCCTATCTTTCTCCAATGTCCTATTTTTTTTTTTTACATTTTTTTTCTTTTAGGCAATTGGGGTTAAGTGACTTGCCCAGGGTCACACAGCTAGTAAGTGTCAAGTATTTGGTCTGAGGCCGGATTTGAACTCAGGTCCTCCAGACTTCAGGGTTGGTGCTCTATCCACTACTCCACTAGCTGCCCCTCCAATGTCCTATTTCTCTTTGAGACTAAGGCATGAGTAAAGGAGCATTTGCGGGGTTCTGAGTTAAGCTCTCTGTTTCCAATCTCCCTTCTCAGTGTTTAGATCAGGGGTTCCCAATCTATGGTTGGAGTATTCCAAAGGGGTGTCAAGAAGCTTATCAAAGGGCTCAGGGAATATTTAGTAACTATTATCTTACTCGAATTAATCTTTTCATTTTACTTGTGTGCATATGCATGGTAGATTCTAAAACGTATTCCTTTCATATTGAATAGAGGATATGGGAAGATTACTGAAAGCCAGGAAGTAGACAAAAATGTTGGGGAATCCTTAGCAGTGGTTCTCAAAGTGTGATCCTTGGACCCTTTCAGGGAGTCCTAGAGGTTAAAAATTATTTGTATAATGATGCTAAGGCTATTAAAATGCTCATTCCTTTTCCAACTATGTATCTGTGTGATTTTCTGCATATATTACAACCAAAACAAAACATTGCAGCAGATTGATTGCAGGAGCAAATATGAGAAGCTAATCCAACTGTCTTCCATTGAGCCAGTCATTAAAGAAATTTGCAAAAATATTTAAAAAACAATGCCACTCCTCCCACTAATTTTTTTTGTTTTAGAAAATATAGTTATTCTTCATAAAAATGTTATGTCAACATATAATGAATTTATTATTGCTCATTTTTAATGACAATAAATATTTTAAATTATCAGTCTTCATTTCTAATACAGAAAATATCGATAGATTTAACCCACATAAATAAAAGCTCTTTTGGGGTCCTCAGTGATTTTTAAGTGAATAAAGGGATTCTTCAGAATCCCTGGTCTAGATAAAGATGGGACCCGTTTAATAAGAGGTTGGGGAGGAGAAGATAGGGCTGAATTCTGAAACAGAACCTGGTTGAAGACACAACTAGGGTTCTCTCACACAAAATCTGAATGTGTGCACGTGCGCTTCTGGTAACATGCACACACACACACACACACAATGACTGAGTGTGTTGATTGTGTCAGGTAGAGATGAATGTGGGTCCTCGTGGATCGTTGTGTGTGATCGTGTCTCCCACAAAAAGCTCAGTCACTCTCTCGGAAGTTGTGCATCTCTGGAGGGATAAGAAGCTTCAGCTAGAACTGGGGGAGTACTGTTTTACAATGCTAACTACGCTTCTCCACCCGCTGGTGCCTCTGAGGGCTGGAGCTAGTCTCTATTCGTGTGTCTCTGACGCCGCCTTGTGGAACCGCGGTGTCTCTTACAGCAGGCAATTGCCTTTCCTGGATGGCTGAGCTTAAGTATTAGAAGTTGCGGGAGTGGGAGGAGGGAGAAAAGGGGGGAGGTGTTCCTCACTCAACTGCTCAGATGGAGATACCAGCCATTCCCACCCTCTCCACCCTCTGGCTCCCGGTGCCCCCCCCCCCCCCAGACTCAGTAGCCCCTCCAAGGAACCAACCACTCAGGAG